TGTAATTATATATGTGTTTTCTGATGGTCTTAGGCGACCCCTGTGAAAGGGTCATTCGACCCCCAAAAGGGTCGCGACCCACAGGTCGAGAACCGCTGATTTAGGGGAAAGCAGGCATGTGGCTAGATCACTTGGCTTTAGGTCAAGTGTTATTGTCCTCTACCATGTGTGAAACTCACCAAAGAAAAGTCATGCCCGGCTGATGTGGCTCAGTGGTTGAGCACTGACCCATGAACCAAGAGGTCCCCGGTTCCATTGCTGGTCAGGGCACGTGCCTAGGTTGCGGCCTTGATCCTCAGTAGTGGGTGTGCAGGAGGAAGCTGATGGATGTTTCTCTCTCTTGGTTGTTTCCACCTCTCTCTCCCTCTCATTTCTTCTCTCTCTAAAATCAATTTTCTTAACCAGTCACAGCTACACTCAGTGTCATTTTTTTCTAGTTTCAGGTGCACAGCACAGCAGGTAGTCAAGCTTACACTTCACAGGGGGGTGCAGTGCCCGTCTGGTACCTTAATAGTTGGGGTAGCTACATCTTTTCTTTAGCAAAACCACATTCGCGGTTCAGTAACCATTGATCCTATTGGAGGGTCGAGACCCGCATTGCCCACTCACCTTGGAATTTTATCCCAGGTTTGTGGTTGGGCGTCAGGGAGGGTCAGAAATCCCTGAAAATGCCCTTGAAATGTGAAGGCTCTCTCTCTGAGGAGGGACCGGCATCTTCCCCTTTCATTTCTCCAGGTTGTGTTCTTTTGTTGGGGGAGGGTTGAGGAAGCCCTGGATTTAAAGTGTCAAACAAAAAGACCCAGGAGGGTCCCGGAGAGCCCCTTGCTAGGGCAGAGCTGTGGGCGCAGCACCTGGTTCCAGGGCCTGGCTCCCAGCCCCGATCACGGCCTCATGCTGCTCAAGTGTGAGCAGCACACATTAGCGTGGCAGGGCTCGGGTTTGGGGTTTGTGGATGGGCGTGGCGGGAGGACGGGCGGGGCCACTGTGGGGGCAGCCAAGGATCACCCAGGACGACGACCCATCCATGTGGTGTTGGTGAGTAGAGAGGAAGGACATGGCCCTGCAAACCCTTTTCCGATGGGACACCGTTGCTCCGACTGCCCACTCACTGACCGCCTGTCCCTGCAGGTGCACAGCAAGGACAAGAAGTACGTGTGCAAGCTGTGCAGCCGGGTGTTCATGTCGGCCGCCAGCGTGGGCATCAAGCACGGCTCGCGGCGCCACGGCGTGTGTGCCGACTGCGCGGGCGGCGGCGCGGCTGGGCCCCTGGATGGTGTGGGGGCCGTGGGCTCCCCGGAGCTGTTCTCTGGTGACGGGCCCTACCTGGAGGACCCCGATGACCCTCGCGGGGACGGCGAGGAGGAGCTGGGTGAGGACGAGGACGATGGCCTGGCCCATGAGGACGCACTGCTGGGGGAGGACAAGGAAGATGAGGACTCGCCTCGGGGGCCCCGCAGCCCCTTGGGGTCGGCTGGCAAGGACTTTGCCTGGATCTCCTAGGCCCTGGGCCGGGCACCAGTGTGGTGGCCCTGCCACCCCTCCACCTGTGTGTGCATGCTTAGGGGCCTCCCTTGCCCGGGAGGGCCATCTGAGCCCCGCAGCCCCTCCTCCCGGCCCCTTGGTTCTGCTCCTGCCCCTAGACATACCCGAGGACCAGCCCTGTGGTCTCAGGAGCAGGTGTGGCCCTGCCACGGGGCTCTGGGATCAAACACGGAGTTGGTGGGGGACGGGGAGGGTTCCCACCTATCATCTTTGTGGGTCAGAGGGTCCCCACAGGTGTGTGTGGGAGACACAGCAAAGGGCCTTGGACACATGATGGCATAGTGGCCAGGTCAGGTCAGCACTGCTTGGGTGTCGGTGTGGCCCCGAGGCCACAGGTCTGAGAGATGAGGAGCTCTGCACCCACCCCACGCCCCCAGGGCTGCAGCCCTCCTGCCCTCCATAGCCTCCCGCAGCCCGTTCCCTGCCTGCAGCCTGGCTCTGGAGGCTCCCCTGCCCGGCACCTGCAGAGCCGGGCCTCGGGCCTCCTACAGAAGCCCTGGCCCTGGCCTCTGGGCCTTGGTGCTCAACACGGAGCAGCTGCAGCAGCCCCACCGGCCTGAGGGCTCCCAGGTGCTAAGTGCTGGCGGGGCGGGCAGCGGGTCCATGGGATCCCACTCTTCCATGTGCACTTCTCTGGGGAGCCTGCGCGGCCTGGTCCCCTGGCTCTCTCCACCCTGTCGCACCCAGGCCACGCCTGCTGCCCCACTGGGGAACTAGCCTTTGCTGCTGCTAACACTGGAGGTGGCATCCTGCCTGCCACGCGCCGTCCTGTCCCCGAAAGGGTAACCACGCTGTTTAAGTAGAGACGTGCTGAGATGGGCGCACAGATCGCTGTTGGGCTTTATTCCTCGCGCCTGACCGGGCAGCCGCCTCTCTTTTAGCCTGTGGCCGGGCCCTCGTGCTGCCTTTCAGCGCTCACAGCCCGCTCTCCTTTGTTCCGAGCGAAAAGCAAAGGCTCTGCCTCGCGCACGGCCTGCTGGCCAGCACCCTGTCTGGCTGAGGGCAGACCCTCCTCTTCCTCGTCAAGGCTGTTTTGGCACCTGTTCCTCAGACTCCCACCTCCTGCCGCCTCACTCAGGCACAGCACGCGCCCTGCCAGGGCTCAAGGGTGCCAGAGAGAGCCGCGGCTCTTCCTCTGCCCAGACTGAGCCCAGTGGCTTTTACCAAGTTTCTTATTGAGTCACATCTATTCTTCCCAGTGGAACCCCCCACAAGCCCTCATGTAGGTTCCAGTGGCCCCAGAGGAATAACCTTTCTGCTGGGGTTGGGGGGCCCGCCCTGGCTCAAGTGGGTGCATGGGATATGGTGCTGTCCTTGAAGTCCTGCCCCAGGGGAGAAGTTGCCGCCTTTGCTTTTACTTATTTATTTTTTTAAAATGAAATCCATTCCATCCATTAGAGGGTGCTCTGGAAGGGGCTGTCTGCACCCACTTCCCTCAGCTGCAGACCCTGTGAGCCCGACACTGTGTCCGTAAGAGAAAGGGCCAAGGTCGTCTCAAAACAGGCAAGCCCTCCCCGCCGCCTGCTCCTGCGGAGGGTGGGCCAGGTTGTGTGGGGGCTTCTGGACATGGTCCCTGCCTGTCACCAGGGAGGCCCAGTTGAGCACCCCTGGGCTCTCAGAACTTGTACTTCCCCCCACTTTCTAGCCCCTTTTCTAAACCGACCTACTTTCTTACAAAACACATTTTGAAACCAGACCTTTGCAGCTGACAGGTGTCTCTGGGTTTTGTACTGGTCCCACCTCAGGCCACCCTGCCCACACCCCGGCCGCCTCCACTCAGGACACCTTGGTCTTTCTGACCTGCTCGCTGCCCCTGCTGACCTTTTGGGGGTTCGCTGTCCGTGCCACAGGAATATTTCCTTCCTTGATACCCACACTGTACTGGGAGACGGAGGGCCGTGCGCCCGCCCCAGGCCAGGCCCGCTGTGCAGGCCCAGCAGCGGTGGGATGGAGCGCACACCCCCAGGCGGCAGTGTGTCATGAAGGGTTGTTTTATGTGACTGACCTTTTTTTTAAATCAATGTTTAAGCTAATAAATATTTTTTTTACGAAGAGGAAAAACTGTGTAGATTACATTCACATTTTGTACTTTTTTGTTTGTGTCTGTATTTTGGTGTTGGTAACACCAAAGTTGGGAACCCAGCCAGCCCGCTGGGTGGTCTGTCAGGGGGGATGGGAACACACCAACTTTTGTATTAAGCTCTGGATCCTGACCAGGGGGTTCATTTGGACCCTGGGTTTGGGGAAACAGTCACAACACTGCCAGGACTCAATAGGGACCTCGACTCAAAAGACACAGCTCCTGCTTCCAACTCTGCACATCTCTCTCCATAAAAAAAGAAAATGCAAAAACTGGAACTTTCTGCAATGAGATGGAAGATCACCGTCCTGCCCCTCGTTTGTGACACGTGCAGCTCTCAGGCCACACGGAGTGGCGGTTCGTGTTCGGGTCCTGCCTTGTGCTCCGTGCGCAGCCCCCTCAGAGCTCCTTGCCGGGAGGTGCCCCGTGTGCTTTTCTTAAATATTTATTTTTTCAACACGCTTTCGACCTGTCAACAAAAACAACAAAAACAGGGCCGTGTTTGAGGACTTGATTTTTCTGGGATAATCTATATTCTGTTGACTTTATATTATTATAAACCTGTGTTGGCATTGGAGATGGTGAGCATTTGGGGGAGGAGGTTTTGTGATCGGTTGGGGGAACCCAGAGCTGCTGTCCGCTTCTCTGTTGCCTCGGGCAGGCAGAGAGACCTCCTCCGGTGGGTTTGCGAGTTCTTGTCTGCCTGGGCTCTGGCCTGCCTGCGGATTTCCTTTCTGTGACGGGATTAGCTGAGACATTCTTGCAAAGCGATCACTCAATAAATTGGGAAATTGCTGCTCAAGGAGATGCCTCGTGTGTGTTTGAGACAGGTCCCCGCCCGCGGCCGTGCACTGAGTGGAGGCGGCCAGTGGCTGGCCTTTTGGGGCCGTCTACCCACCAACCAGGCCTGTGGCAGGGTCCCAGATCCATGTCGTGCCCCCAGGAGGCAGGCACGGTTTCTGGAAAAACCCCAAATCTTTCATTTTTCTCCTCGCCTGACACTGCCCAGACGCGAGACACCTGAGCTTCAAGAACATGGTACAAATGTCAGCCCCTGGGCCCTTGAACCATCAGGATAACTGCGACAGGGGAGACCCCCGACCCCCCCCCCACCACCACCAAGTGCATCCAGGTCTGGCTCCCACGTGGCCTCAAACCTGGGCCTATCAGCACCCTTGACAAGTCCATGGACAGGCAGGGAGGACGGCCGCCCCAGGGCCTGTGTGGCTTTAGTAGAAAAGGCTGGTTTCTTCGGAGGCACTTTGAGTGGTGGGACCTCCCCCGCCACTGGGAGTCCAGGGTCACTGACGCCCCTCCCCATGAAAAAGTAGACCCTGTGGCTAGAGAGGCCCTGGGCAGGGGTGGGGTGCAGTGTGTGTTTTCCTGTAAGAACCCTGGTGGGCGGGTGCAGGGCTCAGCCGTGCACCATAGTCCCAGGGGCTGCAACCTGGTGGTGAGCCCAGTGGCCGAGCCCCTCAGTCCAGAAAGCGCTGGCAGGCCTTCTTCCAGCGGCAGGCCGTGCACCACAGGTCCCGGCGCTCCGTGCCGTACACCTTCCGGCACTTCTTGGCGTCACCTCGGGGCTTCCTAGGGGAACACACAAGGAGCATGGAGTGCCATTGGGCTGGGACCCTCCCCACCTGTCGCCTGCCCCTCAACCCACACGCACCTCAGACTGGCACTAAGCGTAGAGGGCACGGCTGGCACGCCGGTCCTGACTGTGCTGGGCTGTGGCTGCAGCTCGGTAGATGCCAGGCAGCCCTGCAAGGAGACAGAGCTGTGATCTTGCTCCTCTCCAGCACACCCCTGGGACCCAACCCCAGCTGCTGCCTGAGTGACCTCACCCACCTGGTAGGAGTGGTCATTGTGGCACACCTGGGGGGGCGCTGCAGGACTCAGCACCTGGGGTGGGGGCAAGGCCAACAGGTGCAGCAGGCTGGGCAAGGCTGGGGGTCTGGCAGCTCCAGGTGAGGGCAGGTGGGCAGCAGGGAGGCTGGGGACATCGGGGTCAGGCTGGACAGCCCATCGGTCAGCACCTCCAGACCAACGCCCAGCTCCGTGTAATAAAAGTCCTCCTCCCGTCACTCTGCTCCGGCTCTGCCTGCCGCCTGCTGGGGACACAGCAGGTGGGAGCTGAAGTGCTGGCCCACTTGGCCTGCCCCACCCCAACCTGCCGGCCCCACGCACCCCAGGTGCACCAGGCGGATGTGTCTCTGCATCCCGGAGGCTGTGCTCAGCACCTTCCCACAGCGCTTCCACAGGCACTGGAACAGGACCTGCCCCGAGCTCTGGGCGACAAAGGCCGTTGGTCAGGCTCGCCACCCATGTGTCCACCCCACCCTGAGCACTGATTCCCGCATCCCCTTACCTTCCTCTTCTGAGGGGCAGGCTCCCCAAACAGGAAGGCTGCCTCTGGGGGCAGTGGGGGTGATGGGGAGGATGGACAGGACTGCTCGCTGGCTGGGTCCCAGCCCCAGTCCCCACTGCTGCTGCTGCTGTAACTGCCTGGTGGCTGCCCCAGGGTCGGGGGCCAGGGCTCCAAGCAGGCGTCTGCAGGGGCACGCCAGGCCCGTGTCAGGACTGCAGCGTGTTCGTGCGCTCTGCACAGACCGCTGGCTGTGAGCCCCTTAACGCTGAGCTTCGCCTCATCACCTATTCACAGGGAAGCTAGGTGGGCACGCAGCCTCTCGGAGGAGGTGGTGGCCAGGAGGAGCTGGCCACGGCAGCCTGGGGACTAATCTCCCTGGAACAGGAAAGGATAAATGCAAAGATGCATGGCCAGTGAGTGGAGATGCCTGCAGGCCTGGGGTACTGGGGCTTTGGCCTCAGTAAGGGCACTGAGGGTCCTAACGTCCATGTGTTTAGAAGGCGGTATTGCAAGCGAGGGGGTTCTGCTTGCCCCCAACTAACATCCTGGAGGAACAGTGGCCTGGCCTCTGTCTCACCTGTGCTTAAGGCTGCAGTCGGGGGCCTCAGCAGGAGGGGGCTGGTGGACAGGCTTGTGAGGGCTGCGGCAGCCATGACCTCATCCAGCTGGACTTTTCCTTGGGGGGCTCTGGAGGACAATGGGGTGGGGGGCTGGCTGGTGGGGCCCAGCAGTACTCCAGACCCCTCCTCGGGCCAGGCACCATGTGCAGGCCTGGCATGTGTGTGTGCACACCAGGCCCCTTCGCTCCAGGCTCCCTAGGCGCTGGCTGGCTGGGCAGCAGGCCCAGCTCCACCCCCAGCTCGTGTTGCAGAGCCCAGATCTCCAGGAACCACCAGGAACAAACAGGGCCTGGGCTGGGGTCTTCCTGAAGCTCGAGTCACTCACACCTGGGCTCTGTTCCACAGCGTCTCCTTCAGGTCCTGGTGCTGGACAGGGGTCTGAGGCCCCACCAGGGCACAAGAGGCCCAGTCCTCCCCCAATCACACATTAACCAGGTTGTGCAACAGCAGCGGTGGGCCAGGAGCCAGGCCTGGGGGCGGGGTGGGGGCTGTAGGGAGCAGCCAGCAGTCAGCAACAGCCGAGGGAAACCTCCAAGTACAAGCGAGTCCCCAGGCCCCAGCAGGGCTGGGCCAGAGCCCGCCCAGGGCTGCACAGCCAGCCCGGGTGTCCAGCACCCAAGGTTTCACGGCAGGGTGGGGGAGAGGAAGGCCAGAGGCCCGGAACCCTGGGGGTCGGCCTCGCGTCCTCTCCTGCAGACTGACAGCGGTCCTCCCAGCTGAGCTCTGGCCCCAGGGTGTGCGGGGGACAAGGGATACCAACACCCATCATTTCTGCTCACCTCGACCAGGCTGGGGAGCTGGGGAGTGGTTCGGGCCCTGACCTGCTCTCCACCTGACCCCGTGTGGACGTCGGGAAGGCACGTGCCCGCGCCCCACCCACCACCCTGCACACCAGGGCGCACGTGTGCGCCCGCCCACTTTGGCGTGGTTCTTATGTTACAGATGGGAAAACTAATGTTTGGGGAGGTTCTTGAGCCCTGAACCCAGACATTAGCTATTTATCAATATAGCTTCCCTGTGCAATGGCACACTCGTGACACTGGGCT